CTTTCTTTTTCCCTGTCTCCTTCTATCTCTTTTCTCTTCTCTTCTTTTCATTTGTTTCCCCTCCTTTTTTAGTTATTCTCCTCGGTTTCCTTGTCCTTATGGCCTCCCTTTTGTGACTACCCTTACCTCTATCCTGTCGAATGGGACTTGTGTTGCAGAATGTGTAGCATCCTAGGTACTAAATGAAGGAAGCAGGTAACGAAAGGTGATGAATGCGATGTAATCCATATGGAGTGTCCCCTGTGACGTGACAGTGGTTGTGAGTGCATATGTATTATGCATTGAGGCTCCCGTAATATGTGTTCACACACATCATCACACACACACACACACACACACACAAACACACACACAAACACACACAAACACACACTGTCCTGTAGATTTGAGCGGTTAGGATCGGGATCGTACTAGCAAGCTATTCTTTTTTTGTGGTTGGAGTTGTGTTGGTTGTCATTTGTTTATTTATATACATGGCTGAATTCTTTGCCCTGCTCTATAGCATGGGCTGTCTTGTTGATGAAGGAATGTCTGTGGTTGAACGCAAGTTCTTGTGGGGTGGGAATGTATGTTTGTAGTCTTGGCCACAGTATCTTCGTGAGGAGTCTCAGAGAGTGGCTACGGGTGTCATTCCCACAGGCTGCTGTTTTGGAGCACATGGAAGAAATTAGCGCTTCCAGGGTGTTTGAAGCAGTAGCGCTCCTTGTGTTGCGTGGAGATCTTGTTGAGTTTGGTTACTTTGGTATGATTTATGGTGGCTTCGTGGGCACAGAGGACTCTCTAAGTTTTTTTCAGACCATTTGCAGCATGGTCGGTGCTTTCTTGATTGGTGGAGCCTTTTGTGCTGTGGTGCAACTAATTTGTGTGCTGGTGTCTATACACTCCAGGGGCCAGACAACAAAGTGAAAGGGAGGATGTCTGGCCATGGAGTGATGGAGATGGTGGTGGCATGAGCGAGTCGCTTGAGATGAGTAGTATTAGTGCTAGTGCTTTGCCTTTTGCCCTTGACCCCTTTATGAAGTATAATATATTTGTGCAAGTGTGCCACTTGGGCGGCAGACGGGTGTGTGGGCACTTGCCGCTTAACCATACAAACGTGGTGAACCTTGCATCTTCTAATATATTGGCTATCTGTATCTTTTTTGTTTTATGGATGGGTTGTAATGATTTGGCGAGAGAGAGAATTTGGGGATGTTCGAAAATGCACTCGCACACGGATTGAGAACTCTCCCCCTCTCATGCAGATACAAAGACAACTCTGTCCGTCTCTTGGTCTGCCTCTCTGTCTGTCTGTATGTCTCTCTCTCTCGTACTCTCTCTTGTTCTCTCTCATGTTCTCTCTCTTGTTCTCTCTCTCAGACACACACACATAGACAAAGAACTCTCTTTTGCTCATACATACGCAGATAAAAATCTCTACCTCTGTCTGTCTGTCTGTCTGTCTCTCTCTCTCTCTCTCTCTCTCTCTCTCTCTCTCTCTCTCTCTCTCTCTCTCTCTCTCTCTCTGATGCACAAACAGGCAGAGCTCTCTTTCTCTCTCATCTTTCTCGCAGGCAGACATGCAGAGTGAGAAACCCCAAACCGTAGACTGTTATAGTGGCTTGCTTTTTTTTTTTAATGTATACTTTCCTCTTTCCTTATGCTCCTTTCTCCATATCCATTCTGGGGAGTGTCAGTCCGTTTCCTTTTCCACCGGCAAGTCAAAGAGTACAACAATACACACACGCTTCCTTCCATTCTACTTTTTTCTAATATTATGCTCGGGGGCTTCTCGGGCGACCTTCCCCCAGCGGGGTCGCCTGGGGACCAGCCTAGCAAAAATAACAATAAAAATTGTGGTCTGACCTTGGCCAAACTGCTAATTCTGGGTCCTACGTGTTGGTGCACTCGGACTGTTCGTGTGTGTGCGTGGGTGCGTGTCTGTGTGTGTGTGTGTGTGTGTGTGTGTGTGTGTGTGTGTGTGTGTGTGTGTGTGTGTTGGAGGGGGGAAGGGGGTGTTCGGAATGTACAACTCCACAAAAGAAGTGTGATTGTCTCATACTGTTTTGTGGTACGGGACTTGGGTCACAAACTCGCTTATGTGTCGCCATATACCCCTCTACGCAACTCCACAAAAGGATGACATGACTGTCACAGGCCGATTTATTCGACTTTCTCCAACTCATCTCTGTTCTCGCGTTCGCTTTATACACCTCTGAGAAATTGGGTCACCAAGTCCTCTGTGTTCTCGTGTTCGCTATGTGCAGCTCCACTTAAGACAAGTATTTCTGTGACGGATTGTTTCATTGGACGTTTCATTGGACGTTCACGGACTTATCAGGAGGTTGAACCATGACAGTCTGCCTAGGAAGCATTTGACTGCTTGATAAGGACTCGCCGCGTTGCCTAGAATTAGCAAACCAATACCCTGAGAAAAGTGGTCGACTTCACGCACACTGACCTCCATGTGTCTGTGTATGTGTGTGTGTGTGTGTGTGTGTGTGTGTGTGTGTGTGTGTGTGTGTGTGTGTGTGTGTGTGTGTGTGTGTGTGTGTGTGCAGTAAATGTTCAGTCACTATCAGGGTCGCCGGCGAATTTCCAAGTCTATACAGCACTGCTCAAGCCACATGACAGAATCATGGCACTCGATCTCCCCCATGGTGGTCACTTGTCGCATGGATATCAGGTGTGAGATTTTTCTGAAAGGAAAGCAAATCTGAAAGAAGTTTGGGGGGGGAGCCCAAGCGGGCTAGCTCAGTTGGTTGAGCACGTGAGTCGTATTCAGGAGGTTGTGGGTTCGATTCCCCATGTCGTCCATTCGATCCCTGCAACCACCTGTGATACGCCTTCGGGTTCACCAGCGGAGATGTAACTGGCTTGGGCCTCCTGGGTGGTTGTGGAAGTAGGCGCTTCGCTTTCCAGCTCGCGCCAGGTGTTAGGAGCCAGGGTACTGCTCCCCCCATAGAGCAGAGGCCAGAATCTACCCCATAACCCTTAACGCTCCATGCTGAGAGAACGGCATATAGGTAGCTAGGTAGTGGGAGGTATATTGCGAGAAGAATATAGATTAGGTAAGGGTTGCATACCTGCCAACCGCGACCCCGACCATATTGCAGCCGACTGGTCAGCAGTCTGCCGACCAGTCAGAAAACAACCATCCACTGATTTTTTTTCAAATCTGAGTTGGGGGCTGTACTGCTTGCTGAGTACAACCCAAAGCCGCTGAGAAACTTTGGGGGGGGGGGG